ATATCATCAATGTACACCTCCATAATTTCATCGAGTTTTTGTTTGAAAATCTTATTCATCAGGCGTTGGTAAGTCGCTCCTGCATTCTTCAACCCAAAGGGCATCACCGTGTAGCAATAGATCCCACGGGGCGTAATAGACGTCATTTTCTCTTGATCCGATTCATGTAAGGGGATCTAGTGATACATTGCTCGAGCGTCCATAAAGGTGATTCGTTTGTGGCCGACAGTTGCATCCACTAGTTGATCAACTTTTGGCAATGGATACTCGTCCTTGGGGCATGTCTTGTCTTGTTCAAGTCCGTGAAATTCACACATACTCGCCACTTTCCTTCTTTTTTCTTGGCACACACCATGTTGGACAACCACTGAGGAATTATACTTTTTTGATAGAACCGGCCCCAACAACTTATCCACCTCTTCATCCACGACCTTGGCATGGTGAGGCGCCGTCCTCCGAGCCATTTGCCTAACGGGTTTAAACGATGGATCCACAAGGGGCTGATGGGTCATCACCTCGGCACTTATCCCTGTCATCTCGGCCTGGGTCCATACAAAGACATCAGAGTTCTGTCGTAGAAATGAGGTCATGTCAGTCTTCTCGGCATCATTGAGTGACTCTCATATCAAAAAGTATCTCATCGCTATCTGGGCCCAAGAGTACTTTCACCAAGGCTTCAGTAGATCGGTCGACTAGTTCCATAATGGGCTTATCTACCCCCGGCCAACCGAACTGTGATTGCTACTTGGCAACCACTACTTCAGGATCGCGCTCTTGACTTTGGCTGCTAACTCCAGTCTTCACCACAGCGTAGAAACAACTTTTCGCCGACGCTTGATCACCCCGAATTTTCATTATATCTTGCGGGGTAGGGAACTTGACCGTCTGATGATAGGACGAGTGGACCGCCTTCATCGCATGCAACCATGCCCTGTCCATAATGACATTGTATAGGGAGTCAGAGTCTATTACTATGTATTCAACTGGGATAATGACAATCCTCGCACGTACCATAAGAGTGATCTTCCTAAGGGGAAGGGCACTAGAATCATTGAAGTCTATGAGGGGGGTCTTTACAAGTTCCAGATTCCCTTGTGAAAACCCTATTTTGCAGAATAGATGGTCATACATCACCTCAAAAGAACTGCTTGAGTCTACCAAGATTCTTTTGACATCAAATTTATCGACCTGCAAAGTGATCACCAATGCATCTTCATGGGGGAGAACTATCCCGCCCAGGTCAGCGTTAGAAAATTGAATAATCTCGACGCTATATCGTGGCTTTTTGGGGGTTCACTCTTCAACCCTTTCTTTCACCCTTACTACTTGAGAGACTTTCTGTAACTCGGCACGGAGGGAATTATATGTCGGCCTTCCCACGGTGCAGGCATGTATGACATCAATCATGAGTGCCACTTCAGCAGACGCCTCTATTCCTTTCCTCATCGATCCCCCGGAAGCCCCTCTATCAATGCATTCCCTGAGATGTCTATCTCGTACCAACTGCTCGAGGAAGGATATATATACCCGGTATTCTTCCGTCAAATGGCCTATATCCTTATGATAGAAACAATGGAAAGTTGAATCTCTCATCGACGGGTCTCCTTGCATCTTGGGGGGGGCCATTTAAAGTAGGATCTATCATTTATCTTGTGCAACATCTTGTAAATAGGTTCCTTAAAGATCGTGTTCACCCCTTGGAAGGACAAGTGATTTAGGGATGGAATGGGGGGGGTCTTCAGGCCAGGTGTTCCTTCTCTCTTTTCCTCAGAACCAGGACTCTGTTCTCGGGCATGCTAGATTCTTCCTCCACTCAAGCGTACTTGTTGATCCGGGTCATCAAGTCTTTCATGTCCACCAGAACCTTTTTAGTAAGTGACTTGTATAGATCGGTATCCTAGGACAACCCCAACCTAAATGATGTTGCGGTCATTGCCTCCGAACATACTTTCACCTCGTTAACCTCCTCCCAATACTGGATGGCATATTATCGAAGGGACTCCCCTCCCTTTCGCCTAAGCATTAATAGGACGCCGATGTCTTTCGACTTCTTACAACTGGTGATAAATTGAGCTATGAAGAGCTCCGCCAACTGTTTCCAGAACTTGACGCTCTTAGGGGCCAAGTTCTCGTACCACTTCATGCCTGTCCCCCAAGCTCATGGGAAAAACTCGGCACAGCACCCATTGATCGGTTTCGTAGATGGACATCAATTGTTTGTACTACTGCAAATGACCCTCGGGATCCGTTCTTCCATCAAAGACTTTGAACCGTGGGATGGTGAACTTCTTCGGCATCTCGGTCTTCCTGATAGTCCGAACGAACGAGGAAATGATTTCGTCCGCATCACCCTCGGGCCCAAGCTTGCGAGGTGGGCCGAGGCACACCCGAGGGTCCCTTTGGGGCCTTCATTCTCCTGGCCCCCTGGGTGTGGACTCTGTCTGGGACTTAATTGCCCTGATGTCCTCTAGTATCCCACGGTAGAGGTCCCACAGAGATAGACTTGTCGTTTGGCCCAATTCTGATTTCCCCTTGGGGGCTAACCACCCGCTTTGACAGTCACGCACCTCAGGCGAACGCCCATGCCAACCTTTCCTAGTGGCCTTTTGCCTAGGATCCCAGGAGTTTTGGCTTAAGCTCCGATCCTTCCGCTCGCGACTCCGCTCACTCACACTCGTCGACTACTCAAAATCGTTAAGCCGTCGCCAAACCTTAGCGTTTTCCTTCTCAAGTTGCTTAATTCGTTCGCCCATCTGCTTTTCCACCATCTCAACGATATCACGAGCCAAGCGGTCGTGCCCCCCAAGGCCTTGATTCACAGAGAGCGTTCGATGCGAGGGAATATTCTTCTGCGCCTGACTGACTCAAGGGGCCTAGTTCTAGGACCACTAGAAGCCGGATAGCCTTTGTGTTCCTTACACGCACACACTTACTCCTCCTTCACCCTGAGATTGAGTGTTCACTATTAGATGATCGCTATGAGGAATGATGCTCAAGTTCCCACAGACGACGTCAAATTGCATGGGATAATTCCTGCAATAGTTTAAGATAGTGACCTTCAGATTGATGTACCTACAACAGTCACAGGGTCAGAAAAAGGGGGTCAGGTGAACACCGGGCTTATCCCCTCTGAAGCTTAAGTCAGTGTAAGATTAGAGGTCCAAGCTTAATGAAAAATTCGATTCTGGTCCAATGTTGGGTACCTTTGTTCACTTTTCAATGGGATATTTATACTTGGATTAGCAATGATTGCCCAAGGACTCAAGTTCCATCTGGACATTTAATATCTGACACACCTCTTCCTGCGCAATGAGTGTTGGCCACTCAAGTCTTCTCCTATTCGACGCTGGGATGATAGGACCAGTGCTCGGCTCTATGCTGAGCATTTATGCCTGCCCCCGAATACCCACATCCCTCAGATCAGCGTCTTATACCCGCAGCTGAACATTGAATACTCGGGAGAATAATTCCTCGAGGGAAGCCAAACAGGTACATTCGACGTACTAGTCATCTATACCTAGCCATCATGATAATAGGCTGAGACTCTGAATGTGCAGGTGCTCATTAGTACCTAGTCACCATCACTCATATCGTCATAAATGAATAGTCAAGTCACATTAAATGCGGTGTCAGCTGTCGTACTTGGCTCCTCCAAGCCGTTATCTTTTGGCTTAACTTCTCGGCTCCTATCGAGCCTTTGCAACGGATCCATCTTCACACGTGTCAGTCTTGGGGACCGTAGGACGGCCCAAAGTCTCTCCATCTAATTAAATCTATTTCTAGGGTTTGTAATGGACAAAACTTATATGTTTTCTCAAGAGGACATCACATCATCAACCTATTTAAATATCTAAACATTGTTTCTTTTAATAATTAATATTCACCATACAAATAATATTATCTCCCAATTCATTGTGTTTGTTAACTCAAATATGAATCTCACTCTTTAATAAATTAAATTAATAATCATTATATATACGTATCAATTAAATATCTCATGATTAAGAGTTTAAACAATTATAATAATTATGAGGTATTTATTTTCTTATTTACTCAGTAAAAAGAAAATAACCTCAATAATGATCATATCCAATATACAAAGTATACTAGGGCAACAATCCAAAACATCAGACACTCTTTTATAGTCAAGACAGGCTATGTCAGAAGATTGCACTACAATCTTACTAATGATGTGTCTAATTCCTTCTAAGACTGTGAATATTTACTTCTATCATACAAAAATTCGATAATTTGATCTTCTATGTATAAGTTAAACTCTACACACCAAATTATCTACAATATAAAATAAAAGACACACATACAAAGCACATCTATATAATAAAACACTTAGCAACTTAAATTTTTATCCTATACATATTTTTTCCCTAAAAAATATCACATCACTCATTTTTATCTCATATTTAATCATTAATATTTAATTAATTTATAGCTTAATATAATTTTTATTTTTCATACATACACGACAGTATATACATGCTGAAAAAAATTTATTGGATTATATATTTTGAAAAAAATTTATCAATATTTTTAAAAAAATAATAGGTAAAATAAATTTTAAATAATGTAATTAAAGAAAAATTATTATATAATATAATGAAATCAATTTTTTGGACGCTCCAATTTTATGTTTCATCGTGCCTTCAAGCACAGGTTATGACCAATATTTAATATGATAAAAATATTTTACACATACAGATTCTCAATAGAAAATGAAAAACTTTTATTAAATAATAAATTCAGTTTCATTACAGAAAATAAATTTTTAGTATATAACTCTATCAATATAAACACCCATTCAAAATGAAAGAATTTCTTTTTAAAAAAATAAAAAGTTCCTCATATTTAAACAAAAACTTCCTCTTGAAGTATGATTGTTCATGACCTGTCTTCTTAAAGAAAAACAGCAGCCACAACAGTGAAAATAGGTTACACTTGCTGTTGAGCAACGAAATTCAGAAACTTTGAGGCAGAATTTTTTACCTTCAAGGTGGAGTTTCATCTGCGATTGCAAATGAATAAACAAACCACCACCGCAACCACCATCTACCAACACCATCAGTGCTGCCAAGTCTTATCTGATCATGGTCAAGCCCCACATTGCGCGTCCATTAATAAATGTTCTAGAGAAACATAACCCTACAAATGTTTTTTTTAATAAGTACATTTTGTTGGGATTGGTGTTTTGTGTGTGTGTGTGTTGTGCTGACAATAAACAACCCATATCAAGCATTGCTTCCATGTTTGTATAGTAGACGTAATGGTATTTAGTAGCATATACATTGGCTCGACAGTCCCTTTTCTTTTTGTCCCCCTCCCCCCTTCCTTTAAATTTCATCTGTGGAAGGATGAGGCTCCTGACTTTGTAATGGCTCCCCTCTTTTTTGGATGAATACTCCTCAGTTTTTGAAGTTATTTTTCCTTCAAAAATATGATGTCTTATTAAAGTAAATTAAGAAGATTAAATAAAACCTTTTTAATGTCGAAGTTATAATTAAATCACATTGCTATTTTTTTATGTAATTGAGGGTGCAATCAAGAAACTCTAATATTTTAGGGTGTGAATATAAAATTTAAAAATCTTTTAGGGTGTGAATATAAAATCTAAAAAAAATTAGGGTGAAAAATCTAAAAAAAACTTTTACATTAATCTTGACACTTGTTTTTGTCTTTCTTTCGCAAATATAAGAATATATACTAAAAAGAAAAATGATAACAATTATCAGATTTATTACTTTTTTAAACAAATAACTAAGAGTACTTTTTTTTATTATATCTTTAGATATTGTAAGCGTGATGAGAGAGGAGGCGTGCACCTCATTGAATTTGAATCCCAGAACGTGGACAGAGTCTTGTAGCAATTGAATACTTCTTCCTCCTCTTCGTAGTGCAAAACGTGGACTCCACACTCTTTGATTTCTCCATCAATTTCAATATCAAACGAAGCGTGCACTTCATCACCCTCTTCAAAAGGAATCGGCCATCCCCAATGCCAATGGAATAACCATACCATATCTTCGTCTGCTTCCGGAACGCCGTAGCACCTTGGTGTATAGGTCCAATCCAGACACTTGCTCTTATTACTGAGTCTGACACATATAGGAGCTGGCAACTGATCGTCGATATCGATCCCGGGAATTTTGTATACTAAGCACAGATTCAAGGCTTTAACTTTGAGAAAAGGAAATGAAGGCAAGGTAAAAGATATTGTGGAGCCAGTGATCTTATAGCTAAACCAATGTGGAACTTCTCTTCCAGGAAAGTATGTGTTAAACATGTAATTGTCCCACATAATCTGTGAAATTTATTCATAGTTTCAGCTGTACGTTAAATCATGAGAGAGGGAGACACAGAGAGAGAGAGAGAGAGAGAGAACCTGGGCCGGACACTTCATTCTACCCGATGCATGGCGATTAATAATCCTCAAATCAACATTTGCCATGGAGTCCAAGTTGAAGAAGCCAATATTGTTGATCACTTGTAAATCCACTTTTCCAACGTCTTCCATCTTGAAGTCGTACTCAAACTCACATAGACTTGGGCAATCAAAATCTTCAATGCGTCGTGCACTATCCCACAAACTTAGGCGTGTTATGGTTTTCAATGATCTGCAATCTGTGACATTCAATTCGTCAACAGCTACCGATGGCCATTGAAGATGTTGGAGCCTTGGACACTCAGATAAATTAACTTTTTTCATATTTTTCAGATCTTTAATGCAATCTGGCACTCTAGAAATTGGATTCCCTCCCAGAAATAAGTACTTTAAATTTGACAGCTTACTAAAATCCTGGGGAAAATCATCATCATAGAGATTGCAATGCATAAGACTTAGAGTTACTAAAGAGCTTGGTAAAGAATCCCATGATCTTTCTGGATTTTTCGATATTTTTGGTACCCATGGCAAGATGAATAAGCGCCATGGTGTGGAGTCTCTACTGTTAGAGAGTACTTGATTTATTTCAGTTCCATCAGCACGAAGTACTATCAATGATTCCATCTTCCACAATTGCTCTGCCAAACCAGCAAGGTATGAGCATCCAGAAATAATAAGTTGTTCCAGAGATTTAACCATTGGTAACTTTCTCAGATTTTTGCAATCTTGTAGATTCAACAAAGAAAGCCTCTCTAAGTTTGCAATAGATTCACCAAGCTCGACTAGCCTTTGACAGTCTTTGAGAACTAGTTTTTCAAGATTGGGGATATTAGAGAAGTCTCGTGCCTTTGTAAGGCGAGGAGAATGACTGAGATTAAGGATTTTCAAAGATCCAAGAACCTATTTCAAAATGCAAGTAAGAGGAAGGGAGTTAAAGTAATTTCTTTCACACAAATAAAAATCACCACGACAATTTTTTTGAAAAAATGGAGAAAGTAGAAAAGAGTACCGTACCTTAGTTCCATTCCAAACTTGCTCCAACTTGCTATACCGTAGGTCAAGAACAACCAAGTTCTCAAGAGGAAAATTATTGGGTAGAGATTTTAAATGAAAACCACGCCAATACAACCATATGACTCTTTTAGGAAATACCGCATAATTTCCAGAGAGTTGAAAATAACTGAGCTTGAGTAGTCTAAGGTTGTGCATATTTTTAAATGCTTCGGTGTTTAAGACTACCTCATTTGAAATTTCCAGCATATTCATATCAAGGATGATGCCTTCAATTTTTTTTGTCCCCTTATAAAGAAATATAATAGAAGAAAAGTTAGATAAGAAACTAGCACACATAAAAGAATACGCAAGTGTTATGAAAAACATGTTTCTTACAGTTTTTTCTCTCAGAATGTTGAAGGAGTCTTTATGACGCCAGATTCTGCTACGTTCCTCAGGATACTTCGATTCTTGGAAAATAATTTGTCTTCCCATGTCTTCAAGCAACTGATGCATTCTGATCCTATCTTTTTCAATTGTTAGGAGGCATCTATCTATGAGATTTTGAATCCCAAATTCAGGATAGCAATCAGGTCCATCTAGGATAGAAACTATGTCACTTTTTTTTTTTCCAACAAAGAAACAAACTATATCAAGGAATAGGTTTCTATCGTGATCATCTTCTAACAAGTCATAGCTTATTCTAAGCGTATTTACAATTTTACTATCTGAAGTTGCTTCCAATTTCTTCAATGCACTCTCCCATACATCTAAACTTAGCCCACAAACAGAGCAGCCCAAAACCTGAAGAGCTAAAGGAAGCCCATCGCAGTAGTGTACAAACCTTTTTGTTTGCTCCATGTAACTTTCCTCAGGATGTTTTTGTCCAAAAGCATGCCAACTGAAAAGCTCCAACGATTCATCCTCAGTCAATTTTTCAAGTCTACACACTTCATAATTTGCATGAGCCTTTAGCAAACGCTCCCGCCTAGTTGTTATGATGATTTTACTCCCAGGAAAAAACCAATTTTGTATACCAAAAACTGCATCTAATTGGTCCACTTCATCCACATCATCCAAAATTAGAAGAACTCTTTTCTTGCATAAGGCATTTCCAAGCTTGTTAATTCCTTCATCTATACTGTATATTTTTTCTGTCTTATTATGTAGAATATCTGAAAGTAGTTGGCGCTGCAAACGAACTACACCTTTTGGTTCTTTAGAAACTTCCCTGATATTTTTGAGAAAGCTCGTACCATCAAATCTAAAGTGATTTGAATTGCAAATAAATTTGGCAATGGTCGTCTTGCCGATACCGCCCATTCCATATATCATCAAGATGCCAACATTGGTTGATCTATCCCTTAACCACAAATTAATGCTATGGACTCGAGAATCTATTCCAATCAAGTGGGGGCTAACATTTAGGACTCTCCAAGTTAGCTTTTGTTTAACCGCTCCAATGATTTTCTGGATGAATTTCGCCTCGTGCCTGAAAATTCGATTAAAAAAGAAAAATGAAGCATAATAAGCATGTGAAAGGCTTGATAAACTTACAAATTCAGTGCACGTAGAAAACCAAAAAAGACTACCACTTACATTCTTACAGTGGAATGAATATAGCTTAAAATACTTCAGCAAATATCCCAATTCTATTATTGCGGTGGATGATCGAAATAATGACACAGTTTCAAATCTTCATCAAACCCAATAAATTTACATGCTCATCCTTAAATGGTTTTTTCTTGTTACATTAAATTGTTTTTCATTATTTATCAATGCTGTGTTTTGGGATAAACCCAAATAACAACCATGTACTCTGGATTTCTATTTGCAGTAATAAACCTCATTGAAGTACTGGATAAAATGCAAAGTGGCACAAATGGATCGGGTTTTTCATAAAGTTTAAGAAGTTTCCTTCATAATGTTGTACATCAATGTCTTAAAGAGGCCACTCACCATAATAAATGGTTACGAAAAAAAAACTCATCTCTATCAGCTAAGCGTCCAACACACACATTACTTCTGCCAATTATAGAGAGTAAAGTTGAGTTTGTTTCATGACATGCACACATACATACTAGTGGATCCTAGGCACAACTATACCCAGGAAGAAGAACCAGGATGGTTATGAAGTGGGGGTAACCTAAAATTTGTTAGAGCATCTCCAACAGAATAATTAAAACTCTAAAATAGCTAAAATTTATCTACTCAAAAGCAAAAAAAATACTCTAACAGAAGATGTTCAGTGTAGGTAAAATACATTTTAGCTAGAGTGATGCTCTATATTTAGAGTATCATTGTATCATTATGTATAAATAGTTTATAATATATTTTCTCTCCTCTCGTCATTTCTCACCTCTCTTGTCCACTTTTTATTTTTTCCTCCATTTTTTCTCTATTTTTTTAATAGTCTCAACAAAGGTACAAGATATGAGAAATAATATTTAAAAGTAGTTAAAATATAGAAAATCTGTTAAAGTATGTATTGAAAAAGCGAGTAGGTAAAATAGAAAAAGTGCACTTTTGGATTGGTAAAATGTAAAACTTTGTTGGAGAGGATTTTAGAGTATCTCGAAGAGAATAGATAAAACTCCAAAATAGCTAAAATTTAGCTATTCAAAGGCTAAAATCATACTCCAACAAAAAAATGTTCAACATAGGTCAAATAAATTTTTGCTACAGTGATGGTCTATATATTTAGAACATCCTTATAGCATCATGTATAAATAGTTTATAATATAATATCTCTCCTCTTGTCTTTTCCCATTTCTCTTGTCCACTCATTATCTTTCCCTCTATGCTTTCTATATCTCTCTCTTTAATAGTTCCAACAAAGATACAAAATATAAAAAATATTATTTAAAAGAAATAGTTAAAATATAAAAAATCTATTGGACTGTGTATTAAAATAGAAAAAATGTGAGTAGCTAAAATAGAAAAAATGTACTTTTGGATAATTAAAATATAAAACCTTATTGGAAATACTCTTAAGTGTTCTAATTAGATTCTAATTCAATATACTTTATCCTTGACTTTTTAATAACTTATAAAGAGTTTAAATAACCAAACAAATTTAACAAAAACAATTTAGAACTGAACTAGGATAGAGGAACAATTTGATCAGTTACCAGCAAATTATTCAAACCAATCAATGGAACATTTTAAATCCAAAGTGTGACTCATAATGGGCAAATTTTCAATAGTTTAATTCAAACTGTAACCTAAATTAGCATTTCAAGTAACCAATAAAATCCAATGGGGTGGTTCAGTGGCGTACTGGCGGTTTGAGTCTTAGAATCCATATTGGGGTTCGATGACTAACCACCATACTAGCCTAGTTAGGTTCGTTCCTAAGAGAAATAACGGGCACAGTCAAAAGTCTCATGATCCCACCAGTGAGGACCTATCGAAGTAGTCTCTAGGCGCTCTCCTTGACCCCCCACCCCTTTTTCTCCGAGCAAAAAAAAAAAAAGTAACCAATAAAACCGAATAATTATATGATTGGAAAAAAAAAAAAGAAGCATTGACTAATAATCCAAGTTTAAAAGATGATTAATCCAGAATGACAACTGATGGGACTTTTATGAAATGCCCTATGATGAAGACACGTGTCCTCGGTTTTGCTAAAACACTGTTGCTTGGATCAAGCACCATCAGCGACGAATGTCCTCGCCCCCGAGGTACCAACCAACATGTGTCCTCGGCAGTATATTTTACAACCAACACGTGTCCTCGGTCATCTATGTATCTCGGTCGCATACCTCCCTCGGTCCCCGAGACGAGCCTTTCCTCGGTGCCGAGAGTTACTCCGTCCTAGACGCTTCATCTATTCCGGGATAAGCTATTGACGTATAGGTCACTAGCCTAGTCTAGTCTAGGCTGCTCATCATGATCTCGTCTCACACAAGTAATGTCAGAACATACTGGAATACAGAGGTCACAGCCAATAGGGGATGGACGCGTGCCAAATGATGTCACATCAAAGACAGACAAACCGCATGCCGTTGCTGACACGCGGCTTGGGAAAGCAAACAATTAATTGCGCCCTTCTGTTGATGAGACCGCATTCAATGCGGTAAGGCTCGGAAATGAAAAGCAATAAATGCTCCTATTACAGAGCATTTATTGCGTCCTCCCCGAGAGGAGCGTATTGTACCGTCGGTATCCCGACGACTCAGCATTGATTGCTCGGGACCCCGAGCAGTCAATTAGAGAAGACATTCCTCATCAAAATCAATACACACGCTACCTGTGCCTAATAATCACCTACTGACCACACTGACAGCAATCATGAGCTTTTAAGGTATAAATACTCCTCCCAAAAGGCAAAGCGGGTAGGCAATCACAAACTCTCTACTACAAATAATTTTCTCAGTGTTTTCTCCTTCCTCTCTCTCTCATTCTAAGACTGACAACACCGTCGGAGGGGATACGCCGAAAAACACTCCGGCGCCCTTCTAACGCGTTCTTCTTTGTTCCAGGGACCCTTTTTATCCTTACAAGACCGTCACTCCTTTCTCAGGGCCTCGAGTTCACCAGGGGAGAGATCTGTTCCCGTTTTTTATATTGTGCAGGATTGTTGCCCTATAGGATTGGGCCCC